CCCCCCTTCCCGCTCTTCCATATTTCTGACCGATTTCAGTGTCGGTATCAATATGTCATACTGCTTCATTCACTGGGCAGGGAAAATCTTCAGTAAACGCGATTTTGCTCTATTTTCGTGCAAGGTAACAACGTATGACGCATGCGCTTATTTGATTATGGGAAGCCTTAAATCTTGTTTCCTGAAAATGATCTCGTTAGCGACCACGAAACCTTTGAAGGCGATGAATAAAAAGTCCGCCGTCAGTGCTCTCAGCACTTCACTTCTGGTGGGAATCGCTCCCAACACACAACTCAGAGTAGTTGCTGTTCTCGTTCAGTTTTTGATCGACCAGCAGTTGATAGGGGAAGTTTTTCTTACCCAAACAATCTATTAGTTGTGTTTAAAAGTGTTATCTGAAAAAGTTCACGAATGTTTCCATTCGTACTATTGGCGTACGTGGTAGCCGTCAAAGTCTTCAAGAAAACAACACCAAATGGTAAGCAATTTTCTAACATAATTATTTTTCACGTGCATGACTTGGCTCTTGTAGATCGGAACTTTGCATTCCTTACATTTTTCTACGCTTCGCGAAACAAAAATCTATCAAAGAAATTCAAATTGAATCATCACATTTAGTTTACCGGTCTCATGGTCAATATAAACGTGTAAACTGAATGACACTCTCCACGTTCAGTTAAAAAGTATTTAACGAATGACTACGTCTGCCGTTCTGACATTTAACACTGTTTTCCAGGTAAAGTCACCGTTTACCTAGGCAAACGAGATTTCATTGATCACCTCGATCATATTGATCCTATAGATGGCATTATTGTCGTTGACAATGATTATCTCAAAGGGAGAAAGATTTATGGCCAGGTAAGTTATACACCTATATTTACACATCTATATTATCATATAATTGAGTCAAATTTGAGCATTGTATTTTATTTTTTTTTGGGGGGGGGTATTGTAAAATAACTGTAGTACGCAATACTATATTTTAAGTATATAATGGGTAGTTTGTCTTTTATTTCAGACGTAAATTACATTTTAAAGTTTCAACGGGCTAAATTTAGAACATAATCGTTAATTGTACTCCCCGTAAACGCGTCATGGTTTTGAACGTCTCTGAGAGCAGGTTCTGTAAAGAGAGAGAATCTTAAATTATTAATAAAATTCTCATAGAGAAATGCTTGGTTTGGTTAATTTCGTTAATATAATTATTCCCTTGCCTTCAAAGATCACTAAGCGCTGTAGTTTTTAGTTTTCTTATATTTTCTTACATTTAACTATGCTAATGATACACAGATGTAGCTTTTCAGTACAACTACTTGTTACTTTGGTCTCGTACTGTGGCGCAAATGCTTTACAACTTCATATGAGATTTATTCGAAATGTTTGTTTCTCTAGACCTCCGAATATGTGTTCTTTAAAACACAAAACTAAAATTGTGTGTATCGTTTTTAATATTTTTCTACTTGCTTTACACATTATTACCAAACAACGTTCATGATGAATTTAGTGTAATTTCAAATACTTTCCGAGTAGAATGATACTTCATTGTACGCCTTGAGGAATCCATAAATGTTGGCTTTTCAAGTGAGAGAACTGTTGAATTTGAATTTATTTCTATTTTGTCGAAAAATTCTCGAAGAAGTAAATATTCATTTGATAAAATTAATAGATGTAGAGAAGAATATTTAAGTAATATGAAAAGTAGAGGTAGAAAATATACGTGTTCACATACACGTAATTTCTACACATACACGTAGATTCATTTAATGTAAAAAAGAATACAATTTGTTTCAATGATGTATTTTTCGTGACTACTCTGGTTTGTCATTGTGTAATTACTAGTTAAATGACTTGTGATTTACTATAAATTGCGTGTCTGCCTCTTATGATTGCAATGCAAAATTTAAAGACGTTTTTTGAGGCTCATGTATTATTTAGACTGAATGTTTGATATATCTCATTTTCCTACCATGATTTAAACAAACTATAAATTAAGTAGTTGATAGTGGCTTCATTTCAAAAGTAATGTTCGGAGTTCTAAGGAAGGGGAAATAGCAAACGTTAAGTTTGAAAGATTAGCAGCCAATTTTAATTATTAATATTGATGAACTGTTTTTCAGAATCAAAATTTATTTACTTAATTTGTGCGGTTTAACACGCGATGCCGTACGTAATCTAATGAGGTTTATCATTGAAGACGAAGTTATTTCAATGTATGTAGTTTCAGTGCGATCGACAGTAAACGCGGGGCAATTTCATCCGAAACAAATATTCGTTTTTTGTGTGGCAATAAATATTGATAAAAATAGCATTAAAATCAACCACTCATAATTTTGGAATGTCAAAATTTCCAAATTCAAAGCAGAGGGAGCTGCTTGAAAACACGTCACTGGAATCGAACTCGTTTTCCTACTGCGTTCAAAACGAGTTCAATAATGCTTAAATAATACTGCATAGTAATAAATATTTGCAGTACAAACAAATATGTCAAGCCGGGGAATTAACTAAACATAGGAAGCGTAAATGACTATTTTTCAAATATTGCTAATCTTGCGATTTTTAAAATTTATTTTTTACTTATTTAAGTTAAACGTTTACTCATCTTTCAACTATTTATAGTTAAAATGACGGAAAGGTATTCTGGAACTCAAGAAAACGTGTGCAGATAATCTTTTCCCCCCTACGTCACATACAGTTTTACTGGTTTTTTTTTGACTGAATAAATCTAAATCTAAATCATAGCAGAGGGAGCTGTTTGTAAACACATCACTGGAAACGTGAACTCTTTTCCTACTACGTTCAAAACGAGCTCAATAATGCTTAAATAATAGTAGATAGTATTAATTATTTGCAGTACAAACCAATACGTCAAGCCTGGGAATTAGCTAAACTTAGGAAGCGTATACCCAGGTGAACGCTGGAATGAACTGGACGCTCTGTGCTGCTGAACTGAACGCTAGATGCTCTGTGTCGCAGGTCACCACCACGTACCGATACGGACGAGAAGAGGATGAGGTCATGGGCCTCAAATTCAGCAAGGAAATGATCCTGGCGAAGGAGCAAATCGTACCGCCCAAGGAGAAGTCTGAACTCACTCCCATCCAGGTACGGCGTAAACAGACGGGTTGGCGGTCGATAAGACTACATCTTATCTCGGCGTGGGAGAACGGCACGCCGAAATAATTCAAGAAAGATAGGGTTTGGGCCTGTTGACTGCGATAAATCGATGTTTAAAGAAAGCCTCTGATTTAGGGGGAGTCACAAATGAAAACGTTAACAAACTGAAATGTGTTGTAGGTATTTATACGCAAATTTATTACTATCCAGGAGGGCTAATTGAAATTGTACAGAAACAATACAGATACATTTATTAGTGAATAGTTAACACCAGACACTTTTTGAAAATAATAAATAGAAATGAATAAGAAAATAAACAAAAACAAAGCACAATTTTACTTGCTAATGGAAAAATATAACTCAATAAGACAATTTGATTCATCGAATACTCGCAATTTGCTAAATGACAATAAGTATTTAAATTGTTCACGATTATGATTGAATATGATTGTGATTTACTGTATCACGCCTGTTCACGTCGTACGGCTGAATACAACATATTGTTTCTCGTATTTCACTGGGACTTAGGAAAATTTTCGTACAAAATAGCGCGAAATTCACGATTAATAACATTCCTCTAGCTGATTTCTATACAGTAAACGATAATGATGCTTATTACTGAGTCTACACCACAAAATAGACTAGCTCCTTTGCTACCACTTCACTATCGCTGCATCTTCACTATCCGTGCACGCCGTTATAGAGTCCTGTGAGTAAGATCCGAGTTATCGTTCTCCATGTTCTAACGGCAGGTAATCGATTCCTTCACGAAGGGAAGGGCACGGTGATGGATAGAAGCAAACATATATTGCTGATTTTCCTTTGCGAATTGTTTTTATTACACTGTAGAGAATTTTTCGTATAAATTCTTGCCAAAATTGCTTATTTTGATCTGTATTCGGCATTTAACTTGTATATGGGTTAGGATATGGGTTCCAGAATTTTAAATAACTTGCACAGAATGTTATTCACCCTATAGTACGTCACACATATTTTTTTAAACTCTTAAGCGAGGCTCGAACCGGCGCCCGCGCCCGAGGAGGCGTGGCTGACGCGAGGCGCCGTCTGTCGCCGCTGTTGCAGGAGAAGCTGATGAAGAAGCTGGGGCCGAACGCCTTCCCGTTCACCTTCCACTTCCCGCAGAACGCGCCCTGCTCCGTCACGCTGCAGCCGGGCGAGTCCGACACCGGCAAGCCCCTGGGCGTCGAGTACTGCGTCAAGACGTTCGTCGCCGAGGGCGAGGACGACCGCGTGCACAAGCGCTCCTCCATCGCGCTCGCCATCAAGAAGGTACGCAGCCACGCGCGCTGTTTCAGAGCAGTACTCAGGGCGGACACTCACGCTGTTTCAGAGCAGTACGCATGGGGGGGGGCGAACATGCACGCTGTTTCAGAGCAGTACGCAGGGCGCACACGCACGCTACGTAGGGCGGATACGCACGATATTTCAGGGCAGTACGCAGGGCGCACATGCACGCTGTTTCAGAGCAGTACGAAGGGCGAACATGCACGCTGTTTCAGAGCAGTACGCAGGGCGGACACTCACGCTATTTCAGAGCAGTACGCAGGGCGCACACGCGCGTTGTTACAGAGAAGTACGCAGGGCGGACACTCCCGCTATTTCAGAGCAGTACGCAGGGTGCACACGCGCGTTGTTACAGAGAAGTACGTAGGGCGGACACTCCCGCTATTTCAGAGCAGTACGCAGGGTGCACACGCACGCTGTTTCAGGACAGTACGCAGCGCGGACACTCACACTCTTTCAGAGCAGTACGCAGGGCGGACATTACAATAGTGCCTGGTTTATCACACTGTTTGGGACAATCACCTCTGAACGTTTGACAATGAATCTTTCCCAATTGGTTTCGGTTACCCTCAACATTGTCTGTCTGACCACACTCCCTCTGGCGAGTCGTAGCGTAGGAATTCACAGGGTATCAGGATTCAAATTCCGGCCACTACACATGGAAATTGTGGCGGGAAAAGTGGGTAAGCGGCTGTTTTTTAGGGGTTCTCTCTTTTCTCCGCTATCTCGTTCCACTATTGGTCCATGATCATTCACATTATCACCACAATGAATCCAGTTTATACACATCAGATAATGGAACACCGACTCATCACGGAAATCATGATAAAACATACCGTTTTCCCATCCATCCAGCTGGCTTTCCATCTCTGAATGCTACCATTACCATAGTCCACAACTTACGATCTAAATTCGAAAGATTTTTCTCCGCCGTCGCGATGGAGTACATAACATCATTTTGATAGGTTTGTTAGCTCTCTATGATTATAGCATGTTTCCTTAACCACTTTCAGGATCGAGCAATAAAGAATATGGCAGTCATAAAAGTAGATACTGGGCAAACATTTCGACGTATTTATCGTTCAGTCAATCAAAACAAATTGTTTTTATAATATTTTTCCTGTGAAAAAAATTCGTAATTTCTTGTGAATATTGCATAATGATTGTTTGGCGATCAAGTGTAATGCACTCGTAACCGACGCACTCTCAAGTTCCGAGGCGACGAAGATCTGCTTTGACTGCCCAAGTTGTATCGTGAACTGCCAAAGAATCTGCGTCGGGACAATGTGCACATTCTTCGCGACTGAGCCGGCGCGGCTTCGCGAGGCGTGGAGTCACACGCCTCGGGTGCCGAGTGGGCCAAGGGTCGTTGGAAAGCTTTCCAAACGTTTGCGTTCGACGCGAGACGCCGAGACGCGTCGCATCGCGTCGCATCGCGTCGCGTCGCATCTGCGCGCGCAAGGCACGACGCCGCGCCATCTACCGACTTCCGCTAGGCCCCTCGCAGTCGGTCGAACGATCCCGCGAGGAAGCTGCAGTGTGCATGCAGAAGTAGGCAGCAAAACGAGTTGGAAATACATATCACAAATATGCGCTTACGTAGGAATGCGCGCGTTAAATACATGAGAGTGAGTACACAGACACAGGAAGCTCAATAGTCGCTGAATTATGGAAATGTTTAAGCTTTCTACTAATAATGTTCGAATTTTAACAAAGCTGCATGCCCACGGTTGCATTAGACAAAGTAACCAATAATTAAGATTTATCTCATAATTCACACACTCACAAATGAACATTTCATAGCCTTCTCAAGAATACATATATTTTCGTTGTGTCATAGAATTCAGCTAAATATAATGGAGAAGTATGTTTGCGACTTCGAGAAACACATTAAATATAAATTGCATTAACATGACAAAACTAGAATAATTTTCATTATTGTAGACATTTGTCAGAGGAAAGCGGAGGCGAAATGAGCCAACAACATAAGTTCCCGTGATTTCTCTCAATTCTGCTTTATTGAGACAGTTCTTCAATAAGCCATAATACAATTTTCAATATATCGTTTTCCAACTGAAGGTAAATAGAAAGGTAGTGTACCAAGAAAACCAATTTAATTTTGAATTACACGGAAAGAAATCCTTTGACGCAACATTTGAGAAAATGAACATTCCTAAGAGAACAAGCACGAAATCATATTAGGAGCACGAAATCCTAATCAAAAGCACGAAACCGGTGTTTTGAAAGTTCTCCTTTCGTAAACATTTAAAACACGAAGTCGTTGCCCTCCGCAGACGCATCAGCGCCGGAGAAAAGCGTCGTGTGACGCACCCGGAGCTTCGTTCTTTCGCTTTCGTTCGCTCGCGCCCGCGCTTTCGTCGCGTCTCCAGGATCTGGAAAAGAGCGTTGCTCCTGCAAACGGCGCTTCACGCCTCGAGTGTGCCTGGGCTTTCTCGTACGCGAGAGCAGATACGGGTCAGTCTCATTCCGAAGAGCTTTCCTTGTTTACCGTTTCTCGAAGCATAATCAGCATCATAAATAATTGATACGCGAAGACGTTTAGGCATGTCGAATACGAAACAATGGAAAGTCGATGCATTAAAGGAGTGAGGCAAAAATGACAATTTAGCTCGTTGTTGGTCGAATCAGCCATTTTTCATAAATGAAATAAAATCAAAACGAGGAATTTTGGAGTTTGGTGCATGCAATATTTCAGTATTGTTGCGTCTTTTCAGTCGCATTTGAGCGATGTTTAAGTTAGATTATACAGTAAGAAATGTTCACAATGAGGTTACCTCATTCTAGTACACCGTAATGGGCCTGAGGTTTGTAAATGAACAATTTGACTCTCTAGTCCTGTTGACGCAAGATAATGTTCAAATCTATCCAGTGAGGTTCATTGCTCATTTAAAGTGGGCCTTATATTATTACAACAAACTTTCCATCCCAACCATTCTCATCCTCCTTCATAATCTATTACATGACATCATGAAACTATTACATGCGCTTTCTCACATCAGCGACATCTCCAATAAGAGCGACTAAGTCCCGTATGGCAGTACGTAATTCGTGCATCTGATTGGTCTGCTGCAGCTGCAATACGCCCCGCCGACCCGAGGCATCCGCCTGCCCAGCTCCCTCATCAGCAAGGGCTTCACGTTCTCGCAAGGCAAACTCAACCTGGAGGTGACGCTGGACCGCGAGATCTACTACCACGGCGAGAAAGTCGGCGCCAACGTCATCATCACCAACAACTCCCGCAAGTCCGTCCGCAACATCAAGGTGCGTAGCTCCAGCTTCTTCGTTGATGGTTGCAGATACCAGAGCACTTAGCGTGAGCCTTGGTCGTGATTGTTTTGTGAGTCACCGTACTATTAAACGGCAGCGTAAATATTTTGTTGATTATCGCGCTTTGATCTTTGGATCTTTAGCAGCTGAATTATACAACATTCAGTTTGATACATAAAATAAACGTAATGAGAGTTTTCTATTGTATTGTTTTCCACTGCACGCAAAATGCTTGTTAATCATGTGGGATACCAGATGCATTGAGCTAATAATTATGACGGAATAAAAAAAATATCTTTAATTATATTGGTTTATTGAGAGTACACTTTTTAAATTGCTAAAGGATAACCACTTAGATGTCCATTTTTGGTACGCACGTTGGTAGGTTGTATTGAACGTAATTACTCAGGTACAGATTAAGGGTGTACCAGGGTTTTGATATATTTCGGAGTCTTTAGTTTGTGAAAATATTAATTTTTTATGTTAGTTTAAGAATCTGAGATCTAAAGGGGGAATGGCGTGTATTGTAAATAGTTTGAACGGAGACGTAGTTCTTCTCTTCTAAATGTCACATTAAATTTAAACTCATATTGTTCAAAATCAGTAATACGGCAAATTAATAAGTGAATATAAAAATCATAAAACATTTGTCAAAAAAAATCACAAACCTAGTAGTAAGTGGTTATTACAATGAGATAAATGTGTAATAATGCGGAAACGCTGCTGAAGCCGAACTTTTTCACTTTATCGTCATCGAGACAAATGTGAAAATTAGAAGCTATCTAGAATGAACATTTATTACGAAGTCTCGGCATAGTCTCTAAACTGAATCGCAATGATGCAATGCAGATTTCTGCAAGTTTCGTTCATTAGTCAACTCTGTCGCGCTGTCAAGTTTCTCGTAAATTTCTACTCCCTTCACTCTTGCATGACATGACATGACAAAAATATCGCGACATCGTCCTCAATAAACCCTTTGAACACGTTCTATAGATTCCTTGCATCGTGTTTCTTTTGTCTGTTTACTGTAGTTGTTTCCTTTAGAAGAGAGATTTTCATGAGAGGCAAATGTCAGGAACAGAATACCAATAATTGAAAACGTATCTATACGCTATAAAGTGCTCTCTTCTTCACAACTATCGTTAATCTACAAGCCAGATTGATGAGCATGCTTTTCTGGTACCGATTCCAAAATATTTTCTATATTAAAAAGATTTCTTCATGCCCCAAAGACATTTTGCATATAAAAAAATAACTTGCGCACAACTTCAATTAGATATTATTAAACGATCTCAAAATATGAACTTATTTTTCGACGCAAGATTTCATAATTTGTACCCTCAGCAAGTCTCATTACATTACAAGTACTCATTAATGCCTCATTTTAGACGAATGTAAAGTAACAAAAGTTACGCAATTGGTCAATAAATGACACAGAATTGACTATGTTGGTGTTAAAATATATGTTAGTTTTATAAACGTTTAATGGGAATAGTTTGAAATATTTGCATCTTCGGCAATCAAAATAAAAAGGGAAATGAAAGTGGGTGTGCGGCTCTTTTAAGAGGAAAATCAGGAAGTAGCAGAACTCAGGTGCGTGCAAGCTTCCCTAATAAGGCAGCAGCGCGGTCGTTGTTTCTCGCCCGCCCCGCATTTCTGTTATCCTCTTACGGAGCCAGAGCTAAAATGCCCGTGCATGAGGCTTCTTCATCGCCTTAGGGCAGAAGCCAGACCAGCGCAGGGAGCGTGCAGGGGGAGGGGTGGACTTCAGACAGAAGCCCCTGGCGATGCTATGTCGGAAGCGACCTCAGCGCCTGTCACGTGACCAAGGTGGCCCTTGCAGCTTCGGATCACATTTATATAAACTATAATTGCCTCCTCACGAGTTAGATTTATACAAGTTGCTTCCAAAAAAAATTGGTTTTGCAGGCTCAAACGGGTTGCGAAGGCACACAGCTTGTCGTAGCTTTACGACAGTAGTAGAATCAAAAGACGATTATTTGGGATTTAGGATACGAGTATTTAGAACTCAACGATTATTTAGGATTTTAAAAAGGAATTTGAAGGGAAATGATTCGTTTTGAAGGTTTGAAAACTTTCTGTTTGAAGTATTATTACAGTCATTATACGAGTGTTTGGCGGCGTTTATTTCGATTCATTGTTGCATTTGATATCACTTGTTTTAACAAGGGTCGCACTTCAATTATTTTTAATATTAATTATCTATTTTGCGATGCCAGAGTTCACAGAAGACAGTTGTTACCCACTCTTTTAGTTAAAAATATTTATCGACGAACATTTCATACTCAATATTTTAATCGTTTCCCATTTCTATTTTCACATGGCTGTGAAACACACATCTTTTGCTCGTTAAACATTTAGTGATATTATTTCTTCGAAATTGGTTCACCAATTGTTTCATATAAAATACGCATTAAATTTATAAATAGCATTTAATGACAACTTAATTCAAGAACGATACCAAATTATTACCTTCGAACTTGAGAGCTGTTCTGATCTGCGTCTAAAGGCATACCACTTTACAGAATCAGACGTACTGCCACTCTCGACGAGTGTTTCCCATCATCATATTTTTGCCCAACGACACGACACGCTTTGCGCCATATTTCTGACTGGACTTGCGCGTTTTGCGTGCGCAGGTGTACGTGGTGCAGCACTGCGAGGTGACGATGGTGAACGCGCAGTACTCGCGTCACGTGGCCGGCATGGAGACCCGCGAGGGCTGCCCCATCACCCCAGGCGCCTCCTTCAGCAAGGTCTTCTACCTGGTGCCCCTCGCCTCCAGCAACAAGGACCGCTACGGCATAGCGCTCGACGGCTACCTCAAGGCGAGTGCGCGTCGCCCACGCCCACGCCCACGCCCACGC